CGGAGTGCTCTATAGAGAGCCAATGAGGGAAGCAGCAGAGGCCATATCTGCCATAACAATACAACAATTCTCAAATCAGCATTTTTCAGCAAAATTAGTTATGTCTGAATATATTCAGGTTGCATTAACAATGAGAGGTTATTCACTCCTTGCTGTAATACCTATGTAATGCCATGAGATGCCACCTTAAATGCCAGACAGATCTCTTGACCCCAGCACATAAAGAGAAGGGCCAAGATTCACTCGGATTTGCTCCCACGGGTCTGTTGTCTCACTCATCCCTTCCTGTTCTTGGAGCAGCTCCACCCAAGCACCACTCCCACATCTGCAAAAAGCCAGATCATCCTCATAGTTAGTTGCTGGAACCAGGGCTTAATTTAAACAGCCACGTATTTAAACATAGCGTGCTCTTAAAATGGCAGAAAACAGAACAGAATCCAGTGCATATTGATAAAGTCAGCAAAGAGGAAATCACTTCAGATCTAATATTCTTTGCAATATATGTAAATTTAAGGATATATGTATAGTATACGATCTCCAGTTAACAATCTCAGGTGAATGAATAGGACATGAAGCTGGTATTGATTTCAGTGGAAATAAGTATCAAGACTTATTGACCCAAGAGATAAATATCGACCAAAGCTAAGATGGGTTCAATACTTATCTTATGGAACAATAAATCACAAAAAAAAACCCCAACCAAATCAATATATGTACTGTAACAATCTTTCTAATGGCATGGCTAAAATTTCATCTTCAGTGGATGTCACTTAAACTGCAAACAGAAGCCATAGTAAAGTTTAAATACTTAACTGTAATATTCTAAAAATAGGAAATGATAATGTAAAATCAATACTATGAAAATGATTTATGATTCTTTTTTTAAAGTCACTCATTGCAATTGCACAAAATTCCACCAAATTATTAAAATTAACATTCTAAGGCAGCGGGGAGCATATAATGTTACTCTGCACTCAGTTTGCCAGCAGCCTGAATAGATGTGCTTTTTTCCATGGCCAAACTGACTGGCTATCATTAAGGTTATGCAGAATCTTTTCCATTCCAAAAGCTGGTGGGCACAACAGAATTTTGCATGTTATTGCAGAATGAATTAAAACTGGCTGATCAGATTTGTAGCACACAACTGCACATGTTTTTTGGAGCCTGCAGTTTTCTGAGATTTGTGTAACTATTAGTAAAGGTGAAGAATTGAGAAATTAAGGAAATGCCTATTAAGGGAGGGTCACCATTGACTAATGAGGCAGGCACACTGAGCAAAGGACAGAAAAACTTATGGCTCCAGAAAGAAAGATAGAAGCAGTTTATTTATCTTAGAAGATGTCATCTGGGGAAAGTATGGAATTCAGGAAAGGTTCAGGCAGAAGACAGTAACTAGGGAATGTTATTTTTGGAGGGCAGAAATGCATTTTAATGCAACAAATTTCTGAGATAAAACTTTCCTGTTAAAAAACGTTGTGAAAATGTTGGCAGGGCATCACAGAACCATAGGGACCCACAGATCCTGTTAAGCTTTGCTGTGGCCCCAGAGATGAGAGCTTCTTGGACAGGAAGGACAGGGAAGAGGGCAGAAGACTCTGGAAACTATTTGGCAAGTTGTTCTCCAGCGTTTGGCACTCTGAAGAGAACCTAAGGGTGCTCTGAAGCCAGGCGGCTCATCCCACTCATCTCTGATAGAGCAGCACAGCTCTGTGCCGGCCTGAGAGAAGGAAGGCCTGCGGCTTATGTGACTCAGCCCAGAAAACCTCCCAGGAGAAGGCCCAGATGTGTGGGGCTTTCTCACTCCTCCTGATCCTTTTATTACTTTCCATGAAGCTGTGTGACACTGTTTTCAAACCTGCTCCCAGGCTGCAGCAAAGGCAGAACATGTCCCAGAGGTTATGTCTCTATGAGCAGATTGTCACATTTTTGAAAAGAAGGAGGAAGGAAGGAACAACACACCAAGCACACCTTCTGTTTAGCTGTCAAACAAACCAAGTGTACCATTTATAGATGTGCTGGCCAATACAACCTGGTAACTTTCTCATCAGCTGCTATCCAACTTCATTTGAACTGCTTGCTTCACGATGGACTTACCACAGATACTGGAGATACTGACCATGCTTAAACGGATCTATCCCAGCAGCAGCTGCATGCCCAAGGTGGCAGTCCCAGTTCTCCACAAAACTTGACTATCCCGTCACCTGCTACTAACACAGTACCACCTCTCTATCTCCATCCTAGCAGCAGACTAAGATATGTGTTAAACCTTACAGAAAACTGGCTCATTTAGGGCTGCTGCAAAAGGAAGACTCAAAGAGCTCAGAGCAGGCACAGATATCATCAGTCCATGGGCTTTTCCCTCCATGTGGGTTTAATTGCTAAGGAATGGTGAAAGCACAGCTACTTTTTGTTCAACCAAAGCTGCTTGAGAATTTACTGACAGAGCTATTTTACAGTGAAAAATTAGGGGCTTGAATAATTTATATTTTACTGCAGAAAGCATCTGTACAGATTTTTCATAGGAAACCCATAAACCACAGTCTCTTTGCCTGAAAAAAGAAAGGTATCCTTTTCCTTTTTAGCCAACTATTTTCCAGTTACCGAAACTCAAAATGTTTTGGTTGGTCTGTAAGAAGTGAAAAATTTCAACTGAAGAAAACTATTCCTCTGATGTTTCTCTCTGACAGCAATGAACTCAACACAGTGCTGCAGCCCAGGTGTGGAGGATCTCTCTGGAAGATCAGTGTGCAAAGCTGTCACATTTGGATTTCAAACAGGAGCAGAACTGATCCCAAAATTAATAGCGGACCAGCACAAAAAAGTTAGGAATGTTTTGCAGAGAATTTTTTTCCATATATGACCTCAGCTAGACTCTTGGCTCTCAGCCATTCTAAACAAAAAATCCTTTCAAAATTAGAGTGAACTTTGAAAGATACAGGAGTAAGACAGACTGCACAAAAATGAAAGCACTGGATAGAGCTGCTAAATAATACCAAGTAAGAAGGAATGACTCCTATAGATTTTTCACAACATTCATGATCTATGTTTCTCAGTCCATTATCTATATCTTTTTAATAGAGGTTTCAAGGAACATATTTTCTAATAATTTATAACACTCCTATTAGGAAAATATTATGACAAAGCATAGCTCAAAATACTCTTCTGCAAAATAAGGAGTACTATCTTATCCAGAACAGTATACCCCATCATCTACTAGCAAAGAAAAATAACTTTGAGCATAACTTGTTTAGTTCTAAGAAAAGATCATTGGTTTGGTATGCAGACATACTCTTTTACTTACTTCTTGTTTTTAAAACATAACTTTAAAGCTAGGCACTTACATAACACAGGGAATAGTTAAAGGCAGACTTATGTTGCCATGAAATGGAATTAGTAGTGTCTTACTCTTCACCTTAAATTGGCAAGCATTTGACTTTTTTACATACTCCAACATCTGCTGGAAGCTGCAGGATGTTCCTGGAAAATACCTAAAACCTTTTTATTTTTTTTTTTCATTACTGGAAAAATACTACAGGAAGTACTGGTGCTAGCCTGTAAAACATAAATACCCACAGTTAAGCTGATTTCTGCAGAGGCAGTGTTTGGAGGGTAAAAACCTGTATTGGAGAACCTGAACCCAGTTGATCACTGTAGCCAAATCTAGTACAGTGATTTTTTCTAAGTCATAACTGAAGTTTGCATACCCATCTCACTGGCCATTTAAAACAAAAGTATTTCACAGAGATGGTGTACATGGTCCCCAGAAATGTTATCTTTTCTCTGCAGCCCATCTGATATTAGCAAAACCTGTGGACACGCTGTGTCTTGTCACTCTGGTATGGAAAGTACTCAAGATGAGGAGTGGCTGAAAGGTGCATATGAAACCAGATTAAAATAAAAGAGCGAGGTGAAGACAATTTACTGATTCTTGGTACACCCTTCCAAGATAACTGCATGTACCTTATTTTCAAGAAAGTTTCTTAAAGAAACTTGAAATTAGTGGTTGAATTTTGAGCAGCCTCATCCATGCAAAATAATTATGTTTTTCATCTGTGAAACTACTCCGACTGGTTAAAGCACGAAGCAAAACTGAGCTCTCTGGTAACCCCAGGAATGTATTGAATGATGCAAGCCTGAATGATGCAAGCCTGAAGCCTGAATGACACAAGCGGCACTCCCCTTAGCATGAGAAATAACTGACCACACCATTTTTCTACTGACAGAATGGTGGCCTGTGTATTTTTTTTCAAAACCTTCCAGTTCTGAAATTGACTTCCAACAGAAGACCAAATTGAGATCATAGTTTCAGTTCGTACCTCTAAGTTGTCCAAGAGCACTTAAACACGGTCAGCATATATATAACTGGTGCCCAAAGCTCCTCTATCAGGCACAGTGTAACTCTACACCGCAAAGCTACAGTCCCTTGTGCAAGAGATCAAGCTTCTTCAGTAGCCTGCTTTAACTGTGGATCAAATTTCAATAGGAACTAAGAACCAACAGTAATTTACCCCAGCATCTGCAGCAAGTGCAAAATGTACTTCTGTGCCGTGTTCTTTAAGAAAGTTAGTGTGTACATTACAGAACAATCAAAACATTACCAGAGGAAAAAGTGTACCTTCATGCATACAGCTTTTCCTTAAGAGAGAAGATGAGAAAGAACCAAATGTAACAGGTATTTGTTTTGTTATGAATGCTCTACTGAAAATCACTCTGTTATTATATTGACGAAGTTGGTATAAGAAGTCATCAGGAGCAAAATTGATCTGATTTGGTTGTCAAGACTATGATGAATCACTCTGCTGCATTTTTTTACGGAAGGGAGTATCTAATGGAAGAATCATCTAATTGTGGAAAATTAGCTGCATAACTGGGAAGGGCTAGAATTTGGCTTGCATCCTTACTCACACCTAGAGTTTATAAGCTTTACCTCTATGGAAGAATGCTGGATCAATAGCTAACATTTAGTAATTAATGAATTAACTAAGTCCAATTATTCTTACTGTGATAAGGGCCCTCAAGCCTGGGATCTTCCATCAGTCTCCTGTTTTCAAGGACTGTGACTGTATATCCATGTTTTGCCAGGATGCGCTGACAGAGCTGACGGTCGCTTTCACGGTGGGCAGGAGGTGCGTACAGAACTGCTCTTCTTGTACGGCTTCCAAAGTACTGGAGAATGGAGTCGTCAATCTACAGCAAACACAATGCAAAGACAACGGTTGTAAGATAGGACACTCCTCAGCAGTGTAATATATAGTTGTTATTTTTCACAAAAAGAAACTTGTAACTTACTGTGACAATCTGGGAAATATTTCTGGCATAATTAAGATTTCTCTTCATATCAGGGACTTCTGACCACAAATTCCATTTTGTCTGCCTCTCTGTTTTTTCTACCTTCATTTTGGACTGATATTGCAAGGGGTTAAAAGCTCAGGGTAGCAATGGAGGATCTTTAAACCATGGTCTTCCCTTCATGGAAACACCTTTGGCTGAAACCTGGCCTGCTGTGGTGAGCTGGTAAGAGTACTTGCCAGGTGATTTTGACTGTGGCCTCAGGCTGACCTGTGGGTCCCATGTTAACTGTTCTAAGGAACATGGCTCCTACACAGATGGCAAGTGCAGGGGTCTGAGTTCTGCTGTGCAGTGTGATTAAGAAACATAAGAAGATTACTGAGGTAAAAGCATGCACAGGAATCCTAAACAGTACTGTAGATTGCTGTGCCTCTAGAAAATTAAATGTAACCTTGTCAGTACCTTACTGCCTTATTAGTCCAACATAATCCAGCCCAGGAGGACTGGCAGAGAGACTTGTATACAGGAGCAAGTGGAAAGGTGTATGATGTCTCCAATGAATCCCAAGGAACTCTTGGGTTGTCTACCATTCACTGTCTTCCCACATAGTGCCTAGGGACAATGGCATCTAGAGAAAACCCCTCCTCTGTATAATAGCCTGGGTATGAGCTTCTTGCAAGGAAAAATGGAAGAGAGCCACCCCAAACACACAGAGATAGTGTGAGCTGGACATTAAGTTCTGAAAAGAGTGAATTATGGGGCCGCTGTTGTCAGGTCTTTGGGAAACGGAGATACCTTATGTCTTACATAAGGCATAAAAATAGGATGGTCCATGTGGGAAACAGGTCACTAATACCTGGAATAGTCTAGCTGTTCTTTTGCAATAAAAACACCGTTAACAGACAAGATTTTCTTTTGGTGAAAAGTATTTGTCTTTAGGATTGAAACACACCGGCATTTAAGGGATTCAATTCAGGACATGAAATCAGTTCTTGTCAAATTCATGAATTTCAACCTAGCAGTAGTCAGCAATATGTCCTTTAAAAACTGTTATCCCATAACTTCTAATTTTAGTAAGCTTATCACTGGACATAGGAAGTGCTACACAAATAAGGCACCACCATTTTTTGCACAGTAGACCACACTGAAAAAGAGACAGATGCTTTGGTATAAACAAAAGTAATTCAAGATGTGTCCAGTTGTTTATAGGCCTGGGATCTAGTGATAAAGTCACTTTTCTCAGCAGTCTGTTCCCCAATTACAGGATGCAGTTTTACATTACGCTTGGTTGAAATGTAAGCTTCTCTGCGGCACTGAGGAGCATGAACTATTTCAGAGCCCTGAGCCTCTAACACCACGTCTGCTTTTGCTCCAGAGCAGACATCCCCCGTGGAAAGGGTTAGCAGCATCGATGAGGGGACCCTGAAAAATATCTCGATACAACACTGTCAGAGTCTTCCACATATATTTGCTAAATGTGCAACCCAAAACTACTTTAGACCCTGGGATATTCAGGTAAAGGTTGATCACATGCTGGCCGGAAGAAGCACAAATAGCACAGGGTGAAGTCACAGGAACTGCATTAGGTAACCTGTCAGATGTCCTCCCCAGCGACCCAGCGTTTTTAAAACACATTAATAGGGCAGCAAGCACAGCGTTAGAACATCTCAGATCGCCCTTCCCCACCACAGGACCCACCATTCTTTCCCCTCCTGCCTTTGCCCCTCCCTCCTCTCCTCTTATCTTCTCTCTTTCCTGCTCTCCTGCAGCGCCAGCAGCCGCTGGCAGCCTTTCCTCTCCACTTCCCTCCCTCCCTCCCTGTTCCTAAATCCAGCCCTTGCCCTGGCCCCCTTCCTGTGCTCCCTCTCCCTCCTCCTCGGGGCAGTCCAGCCAGACACTTCCCACTTTCCATTTCACTTGCATCGTGGAAGAAAAATCAGGACAGAGACACCTCTCACTTTATTTTGCGAGCAAATCCAATTTTCCATCCCACGTGTGCTGCAGTGGCCAGTGTTGTGGGGTGAGCTAAGGACACATGAGGAGCGCAGAGGGGCTGCAGCCCAGGACAGATCCCTGTCTGGTTTTAGCTGGCGATTACGGCTTGTCCCGCTCCCGTCCCTCCCGGTGCGGCTGAGGGTGCTCGCTGCCTGCAGCGAGGCTCCTGCCTTGGACTTGGCGGCACGTTGTCTGCACCCCTCCTCACTAATGGTTATTGCGCTTTTTTCATGCTAACAAACCCCACCTTTCTTCGCAAAAGCAAAGCCTCCTGCAGTATCACTCCTTAAGCATTTTACTTCAAACAAACTTTAAGAGCTTCTATCTCAAGCACCCAGCAAGGACTTTATTTTCCCCTGTGGGCAATACTCCAAGGGCAGCTCTCACAGGGCTTACCCCAGCCTGGCCGCTGCCTTGCAGCCCATGCCTTGGCAGCCTCGGGTGCCGTCCGGGCCTGGGGGCTGAGCTGTGTCCCCCACTGCTCCCTCCGCCTGGCCAGTGAGGCACAGGGGGACAGGAACCAACCGGCCTCGAGGTGTCCCAAGGGCCCCGAACACCCCACGGTCCCTGGAGACAGAGGCCTCGGTCTGCGCCAGCCTGCCTGCAGCAGGATCTTCCAGGGGAAGGGAGCTCTCCCTCCCACCTCCATGTGAGCGCTGATGCAGACGGCATCTTCCCCAGTTCCCTGGGGATTAGCAGAAATGTTTACAACGCTCTAGTTTGGCCATGGTAAATATTCAGAGAACATTGATAGTAGCACAAAAAAAAAAAAAGGGACGTTCAAGCAATGGTGGTAACCTAGGTCACTTCCAAAAAACACAAAGGCAAATGGCCCTGAGCGGCTCCACGGGGCCTACGCAGCAGCTGCCTCCCAGCGGCCGCCTTTCATTGGCACTCAGAGGGCTTGCGATGGCCTTCGTGCACGGAGCATGCCGCTAGCTGCTCCGGAGGGCTTTCCTTGGGACACACAGTCCAGAGACATGTAAAAATCCTTCAGGCTGCCGGTGTCCAAAGCCTCCTGATGCAGGGCTGGGAGAAACGAAGCGGGCCTGGTTGGGGACACGCTTGCCTGTGCCCCCAGCCTCCCCTCCCGCCACCCAGGCGCTAGACACGAGGCGCTTTTATCCCCTAGCTTCCCAAAAAGCCTTGATGGGATCTTTGGGACACCGAGATAATTCAGGGTCCTAAATTTAACAGCTTGACCTGATGTCTAATCTGGTACTATTAAATAATGTGAAGTAGCTCAACACCTTTTACGGTGCTTGCTTGAGATCCATGCGTAATGTTGCCAAATTTATTTCCTCTGCCCTTTCCTTTCAGAGCTATTTGCAGTCCAGGTTACAAGATGCAATGTGTCCTCTCTGTTTTCTTGCCAAGCCAGTGGAATGTAGGGTGGTTTTTTTGTTTTGTTTTAAACTACCCATTGGCTACACAGAATTAAAAAAAATTCTGGCCAACTACACGCTTGTAGCAAGTGATTCCATAATTTTTTCCAAAGCTCTGTATAAAATGCCTTACATCACTGGCCACACTGATCCAGTTACCACTGGATGTATTTCAGAATTTCCAATACTATAGCAATAGCAGTCATGTTTATACACTTAAAGAGTCTGCTGGTTTTTATAAAATGTTTCTCAATCATAAAAATGCAGTCTGGGCAGAGAGCTGGTATAAAAGAAGCAGAGTGCAACAGATGAAAATAAGCTGTTCACATATTTCAACGTTTTATGGTTCTCATTTTTTTTGGCATTCCTATAACTTTAATGTGCAGCAGGCTTAGACCAAAAAAATGGATCCATAACATTTTGAATATTTGAGAATAATTGTTAAACAGTCAAATGTTTTCATGTCCCAACCATTTTTTAGCTCTTCCCCGGTTTGAAGTCTCAGGCTCTTTGTTAGCAGGTCAGTTTATTACAGATTCAATACACCTTATGTGAAAGGGATTGCTAAAGAACATCTGTGGCCCATGTCTTACCTAGAGAAAAGTGTGGCTGTCTCCACAGAAATTAATGAGGCTTTACAGCAAAGCTGAGATTTCCCATATGATTTAGGATGAGGCCTATGTCAGCTTTGACATGATATACCTGCTCTTGCAGCTTGCAAACCATTGCACTTAGCTGAGTCACTGACCTCATTTTAGTGCAATAGGCTGTTACACAGATGATCCACAGCCTTAACAATGGGTCTAAGCAAATCACAGTGGGCTGTGAATAAAATTGCATAAAAATGAATTTTGTAGTTTTGTTTTCAGTTTATAGAATAAAATGAAAAACACAAAAGAAAACAAATTGAGCTCCATAAAATTTATTATGTATTTTTTTTTAATTATCAAATCAAATGTATATTCCTCTGAGGTCTTAACAAACGAGATAAACAGCCCAGTTTATATAATATGAAAGCTCAAGAATTATGTAATCATCCTTGTCCGACTGAAAATAGACATCTATTATCTGAGTTGCAATTCTTAGTTCTGTCTGTCTGCAAGTTCCACATAGCTGTGAAGTTCTCCGTTAAAGAGAAAACGTTTTGACATTTTCCTTGAAACCAGTTTATCCAATTCTAGCTTATGAATGTATAAAGAGATAACTGATTGTATTAGTCTCTGAAGCTTTCCTCTATTGTACAGAATTTCTGCGTTGTTCAAAAAATCCAAAATTTGGTCAGTAACCGAATCTTATAATATATAATTACTGTCGTCGTTTTGGCCAAGAAGAAAATAGCAAAGATATTTCAAGTTGAGGAGAGAAAAACAGTTCCTTGGCGTTTTTTCAGATTCCAATAAGACTGCATAATTCCATAAATATTGGTGCATTGTCTCTGCCTGGCAAGGAAGCAAATACACAGTTTGAACTGTTGCCACAGAATTTCATTGACCATCACTTCAACTGCAGAAACAAAAT